TGAGCGCGCCACTCGTTGTAGTTCTCTTCAAATCGGGCCATTTCGGCGATGGGAGTGAATGAAATAGGATGACTTTCTTTGCTCACTCAAAAGGGTCGTAAGTGCTTATTACTACTAGAAAGGGCGGATGAAAAAATCACCAGCAGCAGTTATTATAAACCTATTTATGAACAAAGTAAAATAGTTTTGTATATTTGTTTTATTATAGGAAGAGTTGGTATTTTATATTTATGTATAATCTACTTTGTGTATTCTACTAGAAATATAATTACATTACACTTTATTGCTATTTTTAACAATCCAAAGATTCGCATTACATAAGTAACAAACAAAATTACATTAAATACAAAATCAACTTTTTGAATGGAATTGAAACTTATTACAAAGGGAGTAAAAACTTAAATCATTCTATAAAAAACGACTAAGTATTAGAAAGAAGCCGCTGGCTAAAACCGTATATCGCGATGTGAGTTATAGGCGTGACAAGGTCACGGAAGTAACAGTCGTGACAAAATCACGATGATTTATCACTGATTTTTTTGGAACCGGAACGACAGTCACGGCGATAGAAATGTAACGCTATTCCCCATGTCTGTTGGACTATAGCGAGTGGCGGCGCGGTGGCTGCAGCGGGGCGGGCGGGCAAGATACAAGCGTCGCGCTTCAATTGAGCGGTAAATACGAGTTCGAATTGTCACAGCGTCGCCTTGTTGCTTAACATACCTATTTTTCGATCAATAAAGTTTGGTGATGCCGTCTGAGGAAATAATTTCAGCAGTTTTAGAAAGACTTAACATGGAACAGCACACATATCGACCATAAAACATAGAAGGATTATTAATGGCGTGTATTTATTTAAATGATCATTTCAAATTTGCAAAAGCAGCAGGCAAAAAAATCGAAACGGTCATCTTTTACGATGATTGATTCTAAATCTCTGAGACAAAATAAATTAAATCAATGGATATTTTAATCTGTTCTGAGCTACGCAAAAAAAAATATTGGCATAAATTTGTTTCAAATATACGTATAGTCTTAGAATAATAACGCATAGAAACCTAATCCGCACACGCTAAGTGAGGCAAATTGAAGCGCGCCCAATGGGCCTACACGAGCGGGCGGGCTTTCAGTGCTCAAGGTCAACTTTCACCGCGAACGGATCAAGAATTTTAGCTAAAAATGACGAAATGTGCGGTAAATGAGTGTAAAAATACGGCAGACAAACATAAAATAGATACTAACATCACATTCCACAAGGAAGTAACGCGTTTCAACTTGTATTTTTATATAAATATTCACTAAAACCGAAAATTAACCTACTACTAAAACTAGCCTACAAAAATTTGATTTTTGCCTCACTTGTGACAGTTCGTTTGATATGAAACTATCATTCTATGCGTTATTATTCTAAGCGTATAGTATTAAAAATAGAATTTATGAATGTTTGGTAGTATTTCCCAAAGAGTGAGTCTTAAGATGAACATGGACAAGACGAAAATCATGTCGAATACCCATGTGCCCGCTCCAGTTAAAATTGGGAGCACTATACTCGAAGTTGTTAACATTAAGTATACCTGAGGCAGACAGTCCAGTTAGGTAAGTCCAACTTTGAAAGAGATCTCTCGTTGAACCCAGCTCGGATGGGCAGCGTTCGGGAAACTACAAAAAATCTTGGAGTCCAAATTACCTGTGTCTCGAGACGAAAGTCTTTGACCATTGTGTGTAGCCAGTGATCACATATGGATCAGAAACGTGGTCCCTCACTATGGGCCTCGTAAGAAGGCTCAAGGTCACTTAGCGGGCAATGGAGAGAGCGATGCTCGGTATTTCCCTACGTGACAGAATCAGAAATGAGGAAATCCGTAGGAGAACTAAGGTAACCGAAATAGCTCGAAGAATTGCTCAGCTGAAGTGACAGTGGGCGGGGCACATAGCTAGGACAACCGATGGTCGTTGGGTCGGAAAAATTCTTCAATGGCGATCGCCATCGGACGACGCTGTGGGTAGGCCTACCGCGGGAAGCCGATGGATGCGGGCAGCTCAGGACCGATCGTCGTGGAGATCGTTGGGGGAGGCCTATTCCCAGCAGTGGGCGTCGTATGGCTAAATGATGATTAAAAATAAAATTTAGATAGTTAATTTTTATAATTAAATTTACTAAAATACTTTTTTATTTTGATTTAAAAATATTTGTATACTAACATAATATAAATATAAGTAAATTTATTTTAAGAATTTATAATTGTATAACATAGTATAGCCATGAATAACAAATAATTCAAAAAAATCAAGAAATTACAAATTACAAACCCGCCGTCTCGACAGCAAGCGGAACGAAAATGTAGCGACTTTCCAAGTCACGATATTTGTCTCGTTTCTTGCGAGCAGCGGACTCGGCAGCTGCATCACCTGAAGTTACTGTACCGCTGAGATGCGAAGCTGCAAAAGTGCGAACACATGTCGCATCCCACAGGAGACACCTACCCCTCTCCCATCCCCCGTAACAATAGCAACGCGATTGCTACCAGTTGCGATTGCTAAGTTGGTATTACGGATGTAAATCGCAAACTGATCGCTCGCTTGGTGCATTTGCGACTAAATTGTATGGAAACTAGCGCCACTCGCAACTGAACGGCAATCAATGACAAACACAAACGTCAAAAAACAACAAGGAAGAATTATATTTACGTTTTCGTAATCTTAAATTGATCTATAACAACAAAAATAAAATATTCTTATATTATATTATATTCTCAGATTGCACATACAGAAATATGCAGACAACGTATTTTAAGTGTTTCAAACAAGAAATTTGTTGTTTCGTGTTTTTTGTTTACCCAAGAAAGTTTGAATTGCAGTGACGATTCACTAACACTTGAAAGTTAAGTGTTCGACAAAAAGTATAAATCACTATAATAAAAATGCCAACTATGTCTACATTATTGAGTTCTGCTTCTATGGATTCATTTCGTTCATATTACCACTGTTTTGGTGTCGTGATATTCAGACTGTGGGAAGATGGAAAGTCGCGTCTCAAACGGTCAGCTAGAAATGTTATTTGACCATCTTCTAAGACACCCAGCATTGGATAAAGGCTTTAGTCTATGTGGAAGTTCACAAGAGACATCTGAAAGGCTGTGGAACGAATTAGCCACCAAATAAATGTTCTTGGCAGTGGAACAAATAAAAGTAATGCACAATGGACACTTAGAGTGAAGAAAATTTAAGTAATTGAAATAATTGCAAATGTATCTAAAACCAATGCCAAAGCTGCAATGTTTCAAGCTGAAGCCGCTCAAATACAGTCCAAGCCCTAGTGGATATTGTACCATTACTCAAAAAATAATTAAGACAAACTAGTGGTTAATTGTTATTATTCTTAGTATCATACCCTGTACCCTGAATGCAATAACACTTAGGAGGCCATTACTGCTGCCACAAATTCAGCACATCAAGGAAGCCAATGTTTTTTGCAATAGTAATAATAGCTGCAAAGCCGTCTACATGAGAGTTAGCAAACATTCCTGATGCACTGTAGAAACGTGGCAGTTGCAACAGAATCCTTAATATATTATTATACAAAACTCAAGACGCTCAGAGGTTATGGGTGTAGTTGACCCATAGGCCGCATGAATCTTTAGCTCTTAATAATACAAGAAAATACTTTACTAACTACTTACTGTCTAGTACTTTTAACAAACAAGTCAAATTTTGATATTATATGGAACAAGAAGAACGCTGTCTAACTATCTAGTAATACAATATAAAATTGTGTGCATAGTGCTGTGTACATATACATACATAATTTTTCTGAGGACCAATGGCTTAACATTCTTATCTGCTTCTCCATAACCTCAGTATTATTATTGCCTTTTGACTGTGGCCTCTTTCTAACTCGAACTGGGATGATTCAGAGCTGTTATTGCAGGAATTTGTCTCGTAGAATCTTTGGTAGACTCTTCTTGGTGTAAGTGTAGCTCCATTGACAATGTTATGTGATACCGAGCAGGCATTCATAATTTTTGTAACAGTGCTATCATGATAATGCGAAACTCTGTGAAAGCAAAAATCTTCACATCGCTTTCAATTCCCCAATGCCCCGTTCAATGGTGTTTCTGGCTCTACAGTGAAAATCAATATAATATTCTTCTGCATTGTCAGGAACAAATATAATATAGCCACAAACGTAATGGATATTGCGAGTCCCCTGCAATATAAAGTAAAAATTTCATCATGTACACACTGCCACACAGTAATTGTAATTGTTAAGGTTGTTAATTGTTGTAATTTTTATGTCGCATAACTTATTCAAATGTTTAATATTTGGTGTGGTGAATATTTGTTTAAATGTATTTTTGTAAATCTTTTATCAGGAACACTATTACTTTTAGAGTATTTAAAGTGAAGTTTATCTTGGTTTCGTCAAAAATAAGTTAACTAACGTAACTTTACTTCTATTTTTCGTCATTTCGTCACGTTCTCCTAAGATTACTTACCTTACATTCCACGGAAATTTTATTTGTCCTTTGTCGACGAGACAAGAGAGGAGTCAATTCATGGCCTTTTGAACAATGCCTTGGATAACCTATGAGACCTGAACTCGGAAGTCCGAAATCTCAAAGGCCCTGCCGATGGCATTATTTCGGATTCTCCACCGAAGAATGGTAGCGTTCCTCCACACTAACAACTAACACTCTCTTTTCCATTTAAATAGTCCAATAAAATGAGAACTCGCACCATCGCAGTTATACACACGCTACAAGCAGAAGATCACTGAATATTAACAACATTTCACTGAACAATCAATAAATAACTATTTTTAAGTCAAATCAGTTGTTACTTACGATTAAGGAGATGAAATAACAATGTAATTTGAAAAAGCAATCAATCAACAATCACCAAACAACTATTGTGGCACTAGTTGTCAAAAATCCGTCGCTAACGGTAATACGAAAAAGCAACCAGTCGCTTTCTGTCAAAGCATTTTCATGCAGTTTTAGTTTATTAGTTGCTCGCTAGAGGCGCTGTAGTCGACTGGTCGCAATTGTTCGTTCCGTAATACGAATTTATGTTTTGACAGCGATAATCGTGCAACTATTGCTAAAACGACTGGTCGCTAAAGATCGGTAATAAGCCTGCCGTACGCAGGGCACACCTAGCCCTCCATGTCGGATCGGCAAGGCCGCTTGGCTCCATTGTTGTGTATTCAATGACACATTAAGGATTGTCTCAACAATGTCTTTCAGGGAATTTTGAGACTTCCTCAGGATACAACCTTCGTCGGCGTCGTCCGAAGTAGGTAAACTAGTTTAGGAACAGCTAAACACATTCGCAACAAAACCAAGGCGACATGAGCCGAGATGTTCCTGAGACGGTCGCGAGCAAACAAGAGTAGTTGTCTTCTGGCCTCGATGGCATCAGGAATCGTATTTGTAAATATGGGTGAACTCAACAAAAAGAAGTCGAAGTAGGGAAGATTAAAAGGGAAAAAGATGAACTGGAAGGCGCCCCACAGGAGAAAAACTCACACTTTGACGCATTCACTTTCAGTCCCACCTCCTTAAACCGCGGTAACAAAGTATTAAGACCCCGCCCCACGACTTCAGGATTTCCTCTTATTGTGCCGTCATCCAAATACCATATATTTAATGGTGATTCTTACTCTGAAATAATGTTGTGTATAGCAAGACTGAAAGTGAGCGGCGCAAGTGGATCCCCCTGTTAGAAGGAGATTGTAAACTTGAAAAAGAAAATGATATAAGGTGGGAATCTGCTCGCGCACCCTATTCAAGAGTGCGTCTCTCTCAATAGTGTTGAATGCATTTCGCACGTCTAGCTTTGCAATAATGCAACTTTCATTGGATGGGTCCATTGCAAAAGTCCTTGTCGCGTGAATAGCCAGCCGTCTCACATCCCAATTGAGTACCAAGACCCAGCTGATGTGGCTGGAGATAAGGCGCCATATCCCTTTTTACAGCGCGGCATCCCAACTTTGCTGCCAAACGACGCATTGTGCTTCCAACAGCAACGGGTCTCACACCACCGTCTTTTTTTGACAATGCACACAACGACGCCCCGTAAATGTACGGGCAAATCCCAGGATTAAGGCGTCCACTCAAAAAGAAATTGCAAAGCCTAGTAAGGCACTCAAGCAACCGTTGTCCGTAATCCTCTGCCGACCTTGACGTCAACTCTTTTAGGTGGGCCGGACGCAAACAATCTAAACCTGCCGCTGACCCATTATAAAATGAGCCGAGAGCCTGCACCACATCCTCCACCTTAACCGTCAAAGCGGTTATGGCCAAATCTGGTATGGGGAAAAGATAACGGGCGTGACGGTGGTGGGTGTTTTGCTTGTAATGAAACAAACTCAGGACCAGGAGCTGCCACTGCGTCCTCAGACATCAACACACGGACAGCACCTCTCAAATCCCCTTCATAAACTTTGGATTAAATTGTTCTATACACTGAAGGCGATTTGAGTGTCGACTGTTCCACGCTGTCTTCGAAGTTTGAACTATCTATTGTGGCTATATGTTGTTTAACCTTGGTTGTAAGGTTTCCTGGAGCATTATTATCGGGAGTTTTGAAAGCCGAATACGCAAATGTAAGCAACGCGTACCATTCGTCAATCCCATTCTCCTCAATACATTTCTTAATGAGATCACACGTCCTACCCGCCGCTGAATTCCTTGCCCCTTTTAGGATATGTTTTAAAACACGTACCGTTTTTTTTTTCAAAAATGCCATATTATCGAGGCAAAATGAGGCGACGCACTATAAGTTCGACTAGAATAAGCTAGCTGGACAAAAGTCATTATCGAATTTCCCGGAAATTGTTTGCTAATATGATAGATAAAACCCACGAACCTCCAATTCCAAGGATTTAATTACACTGGGGGTTACGGTAATTAAGGGAAGCAGGTAAGTATATAAGAAAAGGGGTAAGTGCACTAATTATCATTAGCAATTTTGCATTTGACGCGAATACATATGACAGTGATTTTAGTAGTGGTTTTAGTTTGTTTTGGTGATGGAATTTGAAAGTAAAGGTATGTACTATCTTAATTTATAAAACAACGCAACAAGTTACTGCCCGTTATTTTTTTACGTAATCCCAAACTTAGAATAATAACGCATAGAAACCTAGTCCGCACACACTAAGGAGGCAAATTGAAGCGCACCAAAAGGGCCTACACGAGCGGGCGGGCCTTCAGTGCTCAAGGTCAACTTGCACCGCGAACAGATCAAGAATTTTAGCTAAAAATGACGAAATGTGCGGTAAATGAGTGTAAAAATACGTCAGACAAACATAAAATAGATACCTACTAACATCACATTCCACAAGGAAGTAACGCGTTTCAACTTGTATTTTTATATAAATATTCACTAAAACCGAAAATTAACCTACTACTAAAACTAACCTACATGAATTTGATTTTTGCCTCATTTGTGACAGTTCGCTTGATATAAAACTATCATTCTATGCACTGACTTATTCTATGCGTTATTATTCTAATGATTCTAAGATCCCAAATTTAAATTTAACTAATTTTGTCCCGTTTTTTTATGTATTTTGGATCCGGAAAGTATTGCCAACGTGTGTCACAGACCCAAAACTAACATATATGGTAGTTTTATTACTAAATCTATGGGTAGCATAGATATGGTAGCTTGAACTCTCTTTTTTCCATTAGTAATAAATCTAGGCTGTGGAATGCTGTGGAACATTTTTTTTTTCTAGAGCACCTCTTCGCAATCTCAAGATTAGAACTTTTTGAGGAGTGGCTCAAACATGCCAAAGAAAACCGGAATAGCGGATTGTTTGCTTTCCTATCTTCAAAATATGATTTCTCCAGTATCACCGAAGATTCTTCAAGGGCGGTAAAAAAAACAATCAGCGCATTTAATTCAAATTTAGAAAAAAATGGTACATATACGAAAAGAACCGCGATGACTTTTTGAAAAAAAAATGAATAGTGGACGTCGAAAGACTTCGTCTTTGAAGTGTCCCTTTGCCACGCAAAGCCATCTTCATCCACTGTATCTTCAACTCTTGGACGTCCAAGCAAAGAGTTTGAAGAGTCCAGTGATAAAACGAAAAAGAGAAGAGTTAAGGATTTGCTCAGTACCCGCGACACTAATCAGTTAGTGGCTGCAACAGAATTTCCAGCGCGACTGTCTGGGCACCGGAACTTGGCTGCTGTAATTAGGGACGCTAAGGAAAGTCCCGAAAACTGCAAAGCCATGAGAGCTGTCAGTGATAGTGAAAACAACAGTCAAAGGTGCTTAACGAAGGAAGAGGCTTTGGCATATTATGTGGACTCCAAGTCAACAAGCCACGCCTACGAGTAAACGCGGAAGTGGCGTATTAAAGCTGGTTATAAGGTATTTCCATCGATGTATAGTCTTAGGCAAGCCAAGATGGAATGTTTTCCTCCTGAAAAAGATTTATTTGTGGATGAAGTTCGTGCAGAAATTAAACTTTAAGCTGTTTTAAATAAAACAGTTGAACGTTTAATGTATGCGCAGTATGAAGTTCTTAAATCTTCTTCTTTAGAGGCACCATTCAGTCTTATAAGCAAGTGGGGATGTGATGGCAGTTCCGGTCACAACACCTACAAACAAAAATTCACCAGTAATGATGCCACTGATGAATATTTGTTTGTGTTTTCCTTTGTGCCACTTCAATTGCACGACGAAAGTGGTAACATTGCTTGGCAGAATCCTCGTCCATCTTCATCAATGTATTGTCGACCTGTTAAGTTTGTTTTCTCCAAGGAAACTACCGACTTTACCGTTGCAGAAACAAATAAAGTCATGAAGGAAAAAAACCGTTGCTGCCGACAATATGTAACGTTGATGGCAAAGAGATATCTGTCAAGCACAAACTACTTTTCACTATGATTGACGGTAAAGTGTGCAATACTGTGACTGAAACTTCATCACAAAAGTGCTATATTTGTGGAGCTACCCCAAAAGTTATGAATGATGAATCTAGGGAGTCTGTAGATAATAGGGACGACCTTGGTTTTGATTTATCTACACTGCATGCGTGGATTCGTTATTTTCAATGTTTGCTACATATAATATTAATAAACTTATGAAACTTATAGTAATAAACTTCAAAATCAATTCACGACAAACGGTTGAGACAACACGTATTTGTGTCAGTAGTGCGGATTTTATTTCATAAATTTAGTTTAAAGTCACTTAATCTCTTCGAGTTTACCATCGGTGTGTTCCTTGTGTCATGAAGAATCTTATGGTGTTTAATACTCATCGACTTTAGATCCCCAGTGCCCGTGACAATAAAAAACAATATTACAAACGCATCGTGACTAATCACAATCTTTGTATTTGAGTGTAGTGGTGAATAAAAACGACCTTGAAGTCATTAGCAAACTATTAACGGCTAACATTCCCAACAACTAGTCTCCGCTATAGGTGCATAATTTCGCTCACACCCGTCATCGAGGATTTGGTGCAGCGGTACTGTGCACGGATTTGCAAACGAAGGGGTCGTGGTTCGAATCTCAGTGCACAATTACTTGCTTCATTTTTTAATTTTTTTTTAATTTCTTTCTCTGTTTTCTTTATTTTGTTGTTGGAAACAGCTTCATAAGTGCACGCAATTTAAATAAAATGGAATCAGATTCTCTAATCTGGGGTTGTTGTAACGATCCGGAAATTGGAAGTGGTTACATAAAATGCACCATATGCACTCTTGCTTTCCACGGCATATGTGTGAAACTTGACCCAAAAAACAGCTCGAACAATAGATGGAAATGCCCTACTAGTAAAGGAGAAATGTCAATCGAGAGAACACCCCGTTACTCCACACTCCATTGCAATCGCAGCTATCCCCGGCAACTCCAACTAGTGACGCAATTACATCCAAGCGATCAGCGAAGCGGCATGCAGTCTCATCACCACATGTTGAAAAAGGAGACCCAGTAACACGCCAAGATGTTGATGAGGTTGTTAGAGGAATATTTAAGTCAGAAATGACCGCCCTCGCCTCTGAAATGAGCGTAACAATAAAATCTTTAATTAGTTCTGAAATGAAGGCACTGAAAACGGAAATTACTGAAGTGAAGGAATCTTTGTCTTTCATCAATAAAGAATATGAAGAGTTCCGCCAACAGCATCAATCAGCAATCGGAACTATTGAGATGTTGCAGTCAGAAAACTTAGAAATGAAGTCAACTATTGCCAGCTTGAGCACAAGAGTGAATCATTTAGAACAACAAGCTAGAACGTGCAACATTGAAATCCAGTGCGTACCCGAAAAAAAAAATGAAAACCTCCTCACCATTGTCGACTCCATCAGCAAGGCGGTTGGGTGTAAGATTAACCCAGAAGACATACATAAATGTACACGGATTGCTAAATTGGACCCGACTGGCTCTCGCCCACGCTCTATTGTCGTACAGTTGTCTTCACCAAGAGTACGAGATGAATTCTTGGCTGCAGCTGTGAAGTATAACAGATCAAAAATAAGAAAAGAGGAGAAACTCAACACATCAGACATAGGCATTACTGGCGAAAAAAAGCCAATCTTTATAGCTTGTAACAGAACATACCTTCCACAAAATAAAATAAAAATGAATTAGCGGAAATTCGATGAATATAAATATAACAGTAATTAATTATTAGTGAAATAAGTAGGTAATTTTTTAAATAACGTCTAAATGTAAATAATCACATTCGAAGAATTTGAATAGCAAATGACTTCGTTGAATTCGTCTCAGTTCAGACACTTGAGCTGAAGGGAACACTTAACAATTAACGTATGAATTATCGGTTTTGCTGAATGTATTTTTGTTAGGGTTGCTAAATTTTGGTGATTAATGAAATTAAATTATTTAATAAAATATATAATAATACTAGTAAATTAAATGCATACTATCATTATTTATGCGAAAGTGTGTTTATGTATATATTACAGATAAACAATATGATAGAGTGAAGTTAGCTTTACTCAAAGGTGTATAATTTAGATTCGCAAAAAAAAAAAAAAAAAAAAAAAAAAAAAAAAAAA